TAGTTCAATGGCCGGTTGCCAGGTCGTCCGGCGGGCCTCAAGTAGACTGCCACAGGCGGGTGCTTCTCGGAGGATTTCAGCGTCCTTGACGGTGGCAATCGCAGTGGTACTTCTCATGTAGGAGAGGTGTCGGTCGCCCTGGAGCAACTGAAAGTGAGATGGGTGCAGATAACGACCATGGCGTTGATGAAGGAGTTGCGAGAGTCTTTGTTTCACATGGTCAATGAGCATGTCGCTCCACACATGAAAATCAAACCACTCCGCATGTCCACCGCCATCGGGTAGGTCACAACAAAGGAACCATGCCGGAATCAGAACGCGAAGACGTATAAGATTAGGTGGAATGGGTAGCCCGGCGACGGCGGCTGATCGTTTCATAGAGCTCGGCGTGAAGAAGGGCGCGGCCGTGTTGTAAACAATGGGAGAAACGGCTGCGGGATCCATAAATCAGAACAAGGGGCGCAACACGAATACAATAGGGCATCGGGCATGTGATCTTTTCCGTACGGGCAGTCAAGAAGAGTGCATGAAGGCCAGAATGCGGAACACGACGTCATGGATCCATATCATTGGCGGAAGCTGTGGTGAAGAACACGCGGCGGTGGTAATGAAGGCATTGTCCCAACAACAGATAGGAGCGGGCGCGTAGACACCGTAGCTGGGTTTGCAACAGCTCCATGGCCTCCCAAGTGTGAATTTCATGAGGGATCATCAACGTCAGAACCGCATCTGAAAACCGGACCACGTCAGCGTAGGTGGTGCCGATGGGTAGGATGCGTGGAGGCAGAAAGGGTCCTCGCATACGGGGAGTGGGTTCACCTGGTAGTAGTTGAGCGGGTCGAGGTTGATGAACGTCCCGAGTGATGAAGTGTGTGATGTTGCGCCCGTGCAAGAAATGAATGACTTCGTAGTTCATGATGCGGTTGACCCGGAGGAGCTGCGTGGTGAGATACAAGTCGAGTACGATCTCGAACAACCCATGGTAAGAATTTTCCGCGATCTGGACAACCTCATAATACATGTTACAGGCCTCCGTCATCACCTCGTGCATAATCTGGTGGATGTGCGGTCGCGGTGAGGTCGAGGAGAACGGAACCAACCAGCCTCGCATCAAGATGAAGGGGGAAAGCCAAAAATTGACCGGGACGTCGGTGAAGGTGGAAATCGTACGGTTGTCTCCAGAGGATAGGGAGACATAGGTGGTCGAGGGGGTCGGTGTAGCGCGATCCCTGCGAGATTCTCTAGCCGCTGCCACCCATTCGCGGTATTCAGAGGTAGTAGGAAGGTCCACCAGCGTCTCCGGTGCCAAGTTCGCCATGGTGTGACGAGCAAGTGGATGAAGGGTAAACAAAGTAGCTGAAACGGCTGCGGGTAGAGGACATCGGGTAACAACTCAAATTGTGTGAGGTCAGTGATGAAAAGGAAGAGCAAGTAAGGACTCTTTATAACCAATGTGACTTCATGTGTCATGCGGGCCTTTCTTTAAGTCCACTCAAATATGTCTTTCAATCACATATATATTAAAAGTGGAAATGAGACCTGTTAGAGAGCTTACGAGCCTCAGAAATAGCAGCACTCGGACAAACTACGCTCGACAGAATCTTTTCTTTCGGTATGGCAAAGCCTCTCGGGGAAAGAAGTGCATGCTCATGATCCCCTTCGGGATCCCAACACATGTTGGCACTTCGCCAACAGCCCCTCCGGGCTCGTAGAAAAGTTATGGGGCATCTTTCACCCCGCAAAGTTTGGGTGGGAGTGGTGGGTACAAACTTTGCTGCACGGAAGGTTCCCGCCCACCCACCCTATGTTTGAGCATGCGCGGAACAACAAGGATTCGTAAAAGTTCAAGTGGAATCTCATGACACATGAAGCGGTTTCGAAAAACTTCTTCAAAACTTTCGAAACCTACCAAAAAGGTTATAAAGCCTTATGGGACTAGTTTGTGATTTTTAGCGTCCCAAAAACGGCTTATAACCAATGTGACTTCATGTGTCATGCGGGCCTTTCTTTAAGTCCACTCAAATATGTCTTTCAATCACATATATATTAAAAGTGGAAATGAGACCTGTTAGAGAGCTTACGAGCCTCAGAAATAGCAGCACTCGGACAAACTACGCTCGACAGAATCTTTTCTTTCGGTATGGCAAAGCCTCTCGGGGAAAGAAGTGCATGCTCATGATCCCCCTCGGGATCCCAACACATGTTGGCACTTCGCCAACAGCCCCTCCGGGCTCGTAGAAAAGTTATGGGGCATCTTTCACCCCTGCACTCTTTGCCCCGTGACTTTGAGAACTCTGCCGCTGATGAAGCACACAATCCGATCTTCAAAGTACTCGCCGAACACAGGGAACCTCCAGTCGGACCTCGAAGGTCCATCGCCTGGATTCGACTTGCTCGGGACTCGAGCGAACCACGAGATCGCCGGTCCCAGCGAGTCGGCACACTCGTAGTGAAGCAAAATGCTCCTCCATAGATCATCGCGTGAAGACCCTTTGATCATCGCAGACAAAACTCCACTGTGGTCCACGTAAAAGACGACCCTCTGATCATTCAGAAAATCTTTCCAGACATGTCGGGCCGCCACCACCGCGAAAAGCTCGGTAGGACCTATCAAGTGTCTCTTCCCCAGTCCCGCCCATTGCTCGACGACCGATTCGTCCAGGTAGCACCCGAACGCCCTCGTCTCATAGGAACCAGTTGGAAGCACCCGATACATGACACCTCCGATTGAGCAGCTAAACTTGTCGCCCAGCTTGTCGCATGCACCATCAGTGAAAACGAGAGTCTGGCCGCCAACGGGAAGAACCTGGATCTCGCGTGGCCGGCCCTCAAGCATCCTCTCCCTCAAGCTTCTGAAGACAGTAGCGTCCAAAGAAGATAGAACGTGACGGTGACGAGCACTCGAAAGCCAGCGAATCTGAGCCAAAGCCAAGCGTCCCTGTCGGCCCATCAACTGACTCTCCGAAAACTGTATCCGGCCAAACAAAGAGGGGATCTGCTTTGGATCAATACAGCCATCCGCAAGGATCTTGTCGATCGAAGAAGCAATTTCCTTGGATCTCTCAGGCTTGTTTCTGACCCTCAGCACTCCGCCCTCCGTGTCAGTCGCGTCCAGTCGGACGCCCAAGACGTCGGCTGTCTGCGAGAAGGGAAGGTCCTTGTCGCTCGCCCAGTCAACTCCAAAAAGTCGCAGCGCTGCCTTCACTGAGGAGTCATGGTTCTCGGCAAGGGCCCTGACCTCCACCGACGGAAAATCGTCGAAATAGCTCGCCGCAGCGAGCTTCAGCTCCCAGAGAATCCTTTGCCACAGCCTCGAAAACCTGTTGAACTGCCCGACCGAAGCCAAAGCCCCGAACGGCAACACGCGGCAGACGAATCCCTTTGTTAAGCCGTCCGCTGGATCCTTCAAGGTCACCACGCACATCCGATGGTGTCCTGGCCGGATAGCGAACTGTTTATAAGCTGAGCGCAGATCCGTAGTCTTCAAGACCGGCGAGCAACGACGAGTGTCTTGCTGCCAATACGAATGCCAAGGACCAGACAAAACAGAGCCGTCGGATTTCCGGAAGAAAACTTCGCGTCGGCCCAAGCTGGCCCTCATCAAAGCCATACAGGCCCAAGTGATTTCATCAAGCGCGCGCAAACCTATCCTCTCCATCACTGTCCAAGCTTGATTGACGGCATTTTTGACTCGCAGTATCCTGTGCAACCCGTGTCGAGCAGACGAGTGAAGCTGTATGGACACCTAGCGTAGGCCACCAAGCTCAGTATGAGCTCGTCGACTTGTAGTCGCGGACCTGTGCTCCGCGCTGTTCGCGCCAAGCAAGCACAATGATGAACCCGTTTCGAGAAACTAAGCGGCTCATCATCGGCAACCAAAACAAGAAGTAAAGCTAAAGAGCTAGCAACTAGAGGGAACACTTCGGTAGCACACCACTTCCCGCAGAAGCCACAGCGCCCCGAACGACAAAACAAAACCCCAAAGACCCAAACCAAACCCCAGACAGAAGTGGTGTACTCTGCAATCCTACCGACAGCATCGTTCCTGAATGAAGTGGCGCGTCCGCCCCAACATTCCGCAGAGAGCGCACGTGACCGCAGGAGCATGGTCCACACACACACTCCCCGACATCGTGATTAGCCACCTGCGTCCAGCGTGGACTAATCCTGTGCACTTGCACCTGAAACGATAACTGCCCTACCCCTACACGCTCAGCAATCTCAGCCAAACAATGTACGCATTTCGAGTTAGATGTTGAGCATCAGCTGATTTGGCTCGTTTGGCTCGAGCGTTGTCATCGGTGACATGCCAGACGTTATTTTCAGAATTGTAAAGGAAAGCTCTGTAATGCCCAGAATGGACGTCTCGACCATAATGTGCAATGGCTCCCACGATCTGATAAACACAACTGCGCGTAAGCAGACTATGCTCTTCCACGAAACATGGGAATGTCACATCGACGGTGCGTAAACATACTGGCATGTCAAGCTTCTCAGCGGCGTCCACAAAGGAAAACCTGTTGAGGCACAGACCAAGAATTCGGGGTGGGATTGTCAATGCATGAATGGCCTCCTGTGCGCTCCACTGGTCCACCACAGTTTGCAGTGAGCACTCCTGTAGGTGAGAGGGTATAGTCATCAATATCGGGGTGATGGTGTCAGCATGGTCGCGAATCTGAAAATTGAGTAACCTCGCCTGCCAATGACCCCGAAGATGTGGAGGCATCGCCTGTGGAAATAAATGCAAGTGCCAATCGCGGACATCGTGCTGTCTAGTAATCTGTTGCCAACCCTGAAAGAAGCATCGCCAAGGCAGGAGCTCTAGCAAATGAACTTTGCCCCGTTGTTGAAGTATTGCCCGTAACGCGCGGCCCGCAGTACCTGCACATCGTCAAACGCATCAGTTATTCCACAGGCCCATAGCCATAGCATGACCGTTGCATTAATGTAGCAAATATTGTTGTTGTTTTGCAACCGCAGTCCGCATACAAGCTGCCTCGTCACTTGTGGGCGCCCTTCATTTGATCCATCTCCTTGGCTAGCATGTCCGCCAGCGGTTGTCTTTTGGCTCTTTCCGGTCGCATCCTCGCCCCGATAAGCTGGAGCACGCTGTTGCCCGATATCATCGTGCACAGGTGGTGAGCTTTGTCCGCTTGTTCGCCTCGACAACTCAACGACATCATGAACGGCAGAGTCGTGCCCGCAATGTGCTCGGTGAGGCGTCTTGTGCTGCGAAACTTGTGGACTAGATTCTCGGTTTCCTGCAAGAAGATCGTCTGGAGCTTCTTGATAATGTCGAGCATGCTGTTGTGTTCGATCGGTGCCCGGCTGTTGTCGATCATCAGTTGCTGCTGTTGCCCGTCCCACACCTTGTATGGCCACATGATCTTCTCCCCGTCCTTGGTGATCCAACCGTGTTTGTGCAAGTTGTTCTGAGTCGTTGTGTCCTTGAGCATCCGTTCTAGCCTGCTGTGTAGTTCGAGCCACATGCTGTTCACCATGCACACTCTCAGGGAGTTCGCGACTTCCGGAGGGGATTTGTGTCGAGCCTCGTGCCACTTCTTTGCTATCGCAAAGAACGACGCAAGTAACCCCTGGGGACCGCTCTCGAAGTGAATCAGGAATTGCTTGTCCATGCGTAGCAACTGAAGTTCTTCTTCTTGTCGGAGACATAGACGAGCCATTGTAAGAGTTAGCGACATGAGCTTGTCCGAAGAGTTGTTGCCACCGAAGTTTCCCCGCTGAGGATGTTGTGGACCCCCTCTCCGCTGGCCTCCCCGTGGTTGCATCGTTCTTGTGTGCTCCGAGTTCTGTGTCGGTGTCTCGTTGGTCTTGGCTCGCTTGTTCGTAGGTTCTTGTTGAAGCTGCAACACCGACGGCAAGCAAGTTCCGAACACGTCCATGATCTCCTGTGCCGATTGTGGGTTGCTGGCTTCCGAATCCAACTCCATCTCGGCTTCCTGGAACGTCATGCGGGTGCGATTGGACACTACGGTGCACGGCTTCTTGAAATAGTTTGTAGCAAACCCCAGCATGTTGAGCTCTATGATTGTAATGTTGGTCACAGTATTGGCATTTGGGTTTGCCCAGTCCATGTGCCCACGCTGTGCAAAGAGCCTCGATCTTTTCCGAACGTGCGTTCCACCATGCTGCATGTTGCTCCCGCATGTGTTTGCGAAAACCTCTGTTGGTGCATGACTGGTTGCAAAACTGGCACTGACGATCCCAATGTTTTAGAGCATCCGGCTGTGGCATGGGTTCCGGCTGCACTGCTGTCCTCTCACTGTCCTCGGCATTCTGTCCCGTCTCCTCACGCACAATGGCATCAATCATGGTAAGTTGAAAAAGCACTGGGCACGAGTCTGAATGAACGGAGCCGGCACCCGGAGTGCCACCACACCACGAGCAGCTGTCCTTGATTCTGGCGATATGTTTTCGTCTCCAATTTTGAGTGGCAGCCTGATGTTGCTGCCAGTAATCCGGGTGAACTCTGGTGTAGTGGATTTTGACATACCGAGAGTTGGGCAGCCACTGACGACAGATTCCGCAATGATGGAGAAGCTCATCCCTCAAGGCATCCGTGAGTGTTATGGTGCGCGGGTCCCGGCCAGTAGCTGGCAGGGTTCTCGCTTGTTGAAGGTACGCCTCCTTGACCATCGTGGCATTCATGTCCAGCGGGGCTGCCTGACAAAAGTTGCCCTTGATGTGTTTGTTGAGGTCGGCCCATCTCTCAAACCGATGACCGCACCTACTACATGTCGGCATCCCGTCGGTGCCATGTCGGTGATGATCAAACACCTCGCTGGGAGCTTCCCGCCGTGCTTTGCTATGAAGCCTGGCGATATGCTGCCTCAATGCAGCTGCCGAGTCGAAAACTGCTTGGCACTCCTCGCAAACATGTTCATCGCCGTCCTGTTTGAGTCGAGGTTTCCGTAGGTCTCGAAAATGCTGCAAACGGGCGGCCTCCCAGTCGACAATGAGCGGCATAATGCGCACATCATCCGGATGAAGAGTCTGAGCGAGTTCACTGGTCCGAGAAACTAATGCAAGAAGTCTCGATTCTATCATGTCTGCTGGTGATAAAAGCTTTAGACGTTTCAGGAGAGCACTGTCCGATTCCAGCGTAAGGTGCCTGGGTGAATTGGCCATGGCCCTGATCTGTTTGGTCATCTGTACTCTGATAAGGTCGAAGCTTTTCTGTGTGAGGCCAGCCGCCGTGATAGAATAAAGCGTAGATGCAGCCACCGTAGCCTTCCATAGGGCAAGTCTTTTGTGTAATGGTAGAGTGCGCCTGGCCATAAGGTACTGACGGAGTCGTGTAAATGCCACATGTCCCGCATGTGCACGATGCCTGGCGTTCATGTTCTCAAAGTCCGAGTATGAAATAACCGCTCCTAGATAAATGTGTGATTTCTTGAGTGGCAATGTATACTGGGGTGAGAGCTGAAGGAACTTGCCATCCGTGCGAGTGTGGATCACCTTCTTCTTGGCATGAGGAGCTTGCGAACCCTCAACTTTTAAGAGGCAGACCGTTTTCTCACGACTGAGCACCAGGCTCATGCTTTCCAAAAGTGCCAGTGCCCTGGCAGCTTGTTCCATTGCGCTGTGCATAACTGTTAGAGAAGAGAACTCCCACCTCAGATGAGTGTCGTCGGCGAAGCCGACCAGATGCTCCCAGCACCATCCTGGTCCTAGCATTTGATCAATTCTGTGGGTGATAAGCACCATGATGCAGCACCAGAGGGTAGGCGAAAGTTTGCATCCTTGGCGTACTCCGCGCTGTGACTGAAAGTGTACGTCAACGCCGTCCTGAACAATGTGGTATTCGGTAGTCTGGACCCAGCGCATTATCAGATTAACGAGTTCGTCTGGCACCTGTAGTAGATGAAGGGCTTCGAGAAGGAGACGACGATCAATCCGGTCAAAGGCTTGCGTGCAATCTATGCTGATTTGTAATCCCCCTATGCATTGGTGAACCTGGGCTCCGGCTCGCTTGGCGTAGAGAGATCTGCCCTGAGCCATCGTTTGTTGCCGAATGTGACCGCAATGCTGGTACACTATGTTCAAGGCTTGTTGGGTAGATCGGTTACTGAGGTAGCCAAAGAACGGAAGTCGGCAAGTCCAGGCCTCCAAGTACGGGGTGAGCCTCTCCTTGATGATGCCACTCATCATTTTGCCAGCCGGCTCAATCAGTGATATTGGCCTGAGGTGTTCTGGTTTTGTGCCAGGTTTGTTGGGCTTGTTCAGGAAAGTAAGCCAGGATCCGGGCCAATCTCGGGGCACAACAGCACCCTCATGACGCCACTTCTGTAGCACCTTGTCCTCCAAGTGATCGGCTATTGGTCCCGCTGCAATCTTCCACATCACGTGTGGTGCACAATGTTTCGGCGCTGCCTTGCCGCTCTGCAAACCGCGCAGAGCCGTCTCCACCTCCGTCCGGGTGATGTCAACTGGTTGTGTTCTATCAAGCAAGGCGGCCTGCTGGCCACTCCACTGTGAGCCCACTGGGGTGTCCTTAGCATCGCCCCCGCACACGCCCTTCCAATAGTCAGCAAGTGCCTCTGCCTCCTCGAGCGGGGACATGAGCTTGCCATCAGTCGTTCTGAGCTGGGTTCTTCTACGAGCGGTTTTTGGGGCTACTCGCTTCAGAAGGTCAAACACTGCACTGGTTCCATCAACTTGATCTCGGGCCTGTGCATCTGCCAGTAGCTGGTCCATCCGTTGCCGACGAAGCCTCCTGCTGTGTTTTTGGACTTGCTTATGTAGACGATGGAAAGCGGCCCAATGCCGAAATGCCTCGAAAGCTGCACGAAGTGAGCCCGGATGCCGTCGCGACCTCATCAGGTGATAATGCTGCCACATCGTTTTGATCGTTTGAACATGTTCGCCCTGTGCCCATGGGGGAGGTAAGCTATGAGGCCGATGCACCACAAAGATCTCCCGTCCCACCTTTAGCATGATGTCATTCAGCAACTGCGGCTTGTAACCGTCAATCCCCTGGAGGGCCTCGCTGAGTGCTTGTCTGTAGCGCTCCGCGATCTCCGGATCCCCTTGAACCTGTTGTTGCAGGAGTTTGCACTTCCATATGGGCCATTCCTGTGCAGTAGGGGGTTTAGAGAAACGATAAGGCCGAAGCGGAATTTCCAGCTGGATCGGAAGATGCCGCCCACCTTGCCGCCACCTGCCGACCTGAAACTGACGTATCATGCAACTTTTGCGCCCGTGTGCCTGTGTCTTCCGGACCATCAGGAAATCTATAAACGTGCGGTGAGCCTTCTTGAAGCCGTCATGGATGTATGTACTGGATCCACTCCTGCCAAATGTGTTCACTGCTAAGAGCTTAAAGTCAGCGAGCAGGTTTTCCAGGCAATCGCTGTCCGTGTAGTCGGTGTTTGCCTTGATCATGCCGGTACCTGTCCAGGGTGGTAGGTGAGGTAGAGCAGTGTTCCAATCACCACCTAGAAGTAAGAAGTTGCCCTGAGGTATCTGACCAAGTGTTTTGCGAACCGCTCGCCACACATCGGCTCGGCGTTGTAGTAATCCATCCTGTTCAGCTGCTGTGTCCCATGTGTATTGGTACACGTTGATGATGTTCACCCAGCCGCCTTTGCATTTAGCCTGGACATGTAGAACTCTGCCTGGAATCACGTGGTGAAATCTGATGTACTGCTGTGGGAAGACTGAAGCACGTAAACAGATCTGAACTCCCGCATGCGCCCTCTTGCCTTGCTCGATGCCCGAGTTGATGCATATCCAGCCCCTGGAGCTGAAATCCGAATCATGTCGAAGCCAAGTTTCTTGCAACAAAATCACATGGTACTGCTGGTCATCTAACCACGTAAACAATTCGTCCTTAAGATTGCTAAGTCCTCCACAGTTCCATGAAAAGCATCGCAATGAAAAACTCTTTGCTGATGAAGCGCGATCTGGCCTGTCACGCTGCACTTGCCGTCTTGTGTCTTGCAGGGTTGTGGGAATGTAATCTCGCTGAAGAGCACCTTCGCTGAGATGCCGTCCCCGATAAACTGTCTGTCCATGTTCCCTGGCACGAAGAAGTGCCCTCTTGTACGCCCTCTTCCGAGCTCTGGTATAGCCGTTGTTGCGGCCTCCGGCGCCGATTTTCGCAGGAGTCGTCGAAGTCTTTTGCGTTCCTTCAGTCTTCCTGCTCCCGAGAGCCTGGCGCTGCAGCTCCCAACCCTCGCCTCTGCCACAAGTGTCAACTGTGGGCACCTCAAAAGTGGCTGCCGGACTTGGGACCGGCACGGCCCCCATCTCGAAAACATCTGCTGCCATGCTGTGCTTGCTGTTGTCAAAATGATGTAAAAGACCACTCAAGCAAATCCAGAAAATCATGCGAAATACCATGAAAATGCCAAAGTGAAAACAGCGCAGGAAATCGTGAGGTTCAAGTGCTCGTGCAGTGAAAACCATGCGGCGCGCGTCGGCACACTACACTACCTACCTGCGGGCAGCAAAACAAAACTCGGGCCGAGAGGCTTGATTGACGGCATTCTCGGACAGGTCGTCGATGGGTCGCAATTTGTTCTTTTGCCTGATGGAGAATCTGCGCACAGGTATCCACTTGGAGTCAAACATGTTCTGCAGTTGTTCCCACGTGTAGGGCCCATGCAACCAGCCTTTCTCATCGGCTTCAGCACAAGTGAGATCCCAGAGCTCCTGATCATCCGGGTGGCTCGCATCTCCCGACACCTTGCCCCACAGGGCTGGCTTCAAGAACTTCGCATGATCAAGCAACTCGTCCACGGACATCGAAGAGGGTTTCGGATCCACCTCGAAGATGCCTGTAACCTTGGCCTCACCCACAAGCTCAAAGCCGTTCTCGATGTCGTCGATTATCGTGGCATCAGGCCACTGCAAGTCTTCAGCCACACGTCGCAGGAGGGTCAAGTTCTTGCGTGCAACTATCTTCTCGACATCTGGGTGAAGCCTCGCGTGCAAGGAGGCCTCTGCTCCACGAAGTTCCTGAGACCACTTTTTCCATTTCGTCAAGGTGTCCAAGCGATGCCTCATGACAGCCAACGGCCCTTTGGTGAGAGTGAACGCAAGAATCTCGAGCATCTCATCTGGCACTGCCGAAGACAAGTCGAAAGGATGGGACAGAGTGACTGCTGTCCTGACGAACTCATCCTCGGTTCTGTAAACCCCAAAAGTAACCCTAAAGCCCGAACCTGAAGGACCCTCGCCCCCTTGCACAGGCACCACCTGAAGGATGCGGGCACCGACAGGCACCGATTGAAAAGCGGCCGTCAAGGAATTTTTGGCATCATACCTGAGAGCATCCATGGATGGAACCTGCAAAGTGACCCGATGCTTGTATTCAGGCATGAGCGGCGGCGCCTTGGAGACCTTGGGTTGGCGTTGCACTGCAATGGAAGACCGATGATTGGCCGACGGCTTGACGGCATCAGGAGACACAGCAAACCCTAGGGTCCCCGCGAAAACAACTATCTGGGCGGCGAACCGACTGCACAACAAACGCGGTCTGTCCCGCAGGGAAGTCACTGACCGGAAAGTTTTAGGAGGTTTCTGACTTTCGTCACACGGCACAGCAAGGGCGCTCAAAGTCTGGACGTTAGTATGCAACAGCATCTGCTGGTGTTGCTCGCCACCATGGGCAAGCAGGTCGAACTTCACGACATGCGAGGCAGGCAGCGCCAAAGTCGCCCACAGCCGGCTGCTTAGCGGATTCAAGACTCCCCATCCGATATCAAGAGTGGCGAGCAATGCCAAGAATGAGCTGAGCTCGGAAGCCACCTGGGCAAAACCTTCGGGAAGGTCGCCTGAAGAGGCGGCCACAGTGGGGGCGGCAAGCACAAAGACGACCCTCCTAGCGAGCACAACCTTAACTAGGAAGTCCCAAGAGGCAGCCCTCCTAAGATCCAGCGACACAACGCTGAGCAAAGCTCTCTGCTTCAGGTGCGGTTGCTCGATCGCGAGCACATCGAATCCGGCTGCCTTCAGGGAGGCCCCGAACTCGCCTGCATTGCAAAAGAGGTCAAGGCACAGCAGAGAGGCGGCTTGCAGTTGAGCCGGGAGGGCATCACAGGCTTCATCCACTTGAGAACTTCTGAGGTCATGGAAGGTACCCCTGACCTCGATCAAATCCGGACTGAAGTTGGGCGGCGTCTGGGGCACAGGGAAATCAAGCTCAGCCAAGCGCGCCCTACAGTCCACGTCAAGCTCCTGAACCCTAGCAATACAAAAACCAACTATGACTACGCGTCGGCCGCTCCACGGCCGTGTAGCGTGCACATGGCTGCAAGCATAGAAGGCCTTCGGTCCGGAGGCAACATCGATCAAGATGCCGCGCTTCGTAACACCATCGACCTCACAAGGAAAAACGCCCTGAGCTGACTCGACCCAGACCTCTCCTTTCCGAAAATTGCTGAGTGGCACAAGAATGTTAGGGAAAGGAGAGTTGAAGCGGTCGACATGAGGCTCCGTCTTAAGGTCTGAGAACACACTCAGAGTAGAAAATTTCATTCCCGGGGCAGCGCGTTGCACCGCCTGAGCGAAAATCTTTGAAGCCGCCGGATGTTTGCTGCAGTTACTCCTGAGACCGAGCAGAGGCCCCTTCACGTAGGCACCAGTCGAGAAGGCCGCGGCTCCATCGTCACGAGTCTTGCTCAAAAGCGGCTCCTGAGGAAGCATGTCAAACAAACGAATCAACTCCTGGGCCGTGGGATCCCTGTCCAAAGACAGAAGCTCCTCGGCATAAGAGTCCGCATGAACCTTTGGATCGAGTGGGTTCGATCCCTGCTCTTCAAATGGCATTGCTTGGGCCCCTTCGGGCGCACTCGAAAGAGGCTCATCCCCTTCGGGATGGGCCTTAAGCACTTCCTGGATTGCTCGAGAATGGCCTTCGCCACTCCCAGACCCGGCCACCGACTCTTCCGTACTCGGGGCCAGGATCGCACTTGATAGTCAAGCGCCCGCCTGCTCGCCATCTTTCGGCTTCTTGGGACACTTGATAGCGGCGTGGTTCATGCCGCACTTGGGGACTGCACAGATGTGCAATCCCTTCTCACACTTATTGCCGGTCACCTTGTTCGGGCATGACCCCAGGTTAAAGGCATAGCAGATCGGGTGTCCTTTCGCGGTGTGCGAATTGCACCCACGAAGCTCGCTCGGCATGGCAACGAAGCGCTTCTTTCCTTTGCCATCTTTGCCCTTGCCTTTGCCTTTATACGGTGACTCCCGCAGTCGAGCAGGCTCACTGGGACCGTACGAAGACGAAGGGCCGCCCTGTAGCGGCTGCATCAACGACACCACCTCGTGCATGCAGCTGACTGAATCTATGATGCCATCGATCGGACGACCTTTGGCATCCGACTGGATGCCTGTGCGCGTATGGTCCTGAAGCTCCAGAAAGAGCCTCGAGTCTGCATTCTGCAACTGAGTGAAGGTGACTTGCTGGTAGCCCGGCGGAGGTGGAGTCAGCCTCGCCTTCATCAACTTCTGATGCCACATGTCAAGCTTTGTGAAAGAGACAATGTTAGCTTGATCGAATGCAAGAGCACGCCGCTGCAGGGCCTGCAGAAGCATCACTTCAGTGGATGTATCGGCCACCTGATCTTTGGCCTTGTTTTCCACCTTAAGCCTACCACTCTCGCCGTCAATCGAAAGCTTCAGGTCCTTCTTACCGTCGCCTAGGAGCTCTTGTTCCCGCGACGTGCACTTAGACCAAGGCACATACTGAATCACATTGGCCTCGTACTGACCGACGCACAGGTCGACCAAGGCCTCTGATGGTTCCGAGGAACCTTTTATCGTGATGCCAGTCAACTGTGAACGCTGGCGCTCAATTCTCTCAGCCCTCTCGGGCTGACTCAAATGACGAACTGTCGGTTCCTCTACCCTTTCGACCTGCTGTCGCATCTCCGAAGTGACAATGGCATAAGCTTCATGAAATACGGCTCTGAAAGCTGCTTTCTGACTCATCTCTGGGTCCTTTCCAAGCATCGCCTTAAGGGCCTCGATCAACGGACCTTCGTCCGCAGCCCCCGGAGCAAAAGAGCTCACGAAGGCCAGCTGCTTCAAACTCTTAACGTGCTTCAGGATGAGATCACGCTCAGTCTGATCAAACCCCGCCTTCGAGAGACGCGACACCAGAACCGGCTCGGACTCTGAGTATGCGGAAGCCATGGCTCACACCTTCAGCACGGGTCTACCTTCAAAGTAGCTCGAGCGACCCTCACTTGAAATCACAAGGCGGCATTTGCGACTCCGGGCTCTTGAGACCACTGCAATGCCGAGCACAGCGTTCCTTGTATTCCGTGCGCATATTCATCCCGCCTTCGCGGGCTCTCACGCTGAGAGGCTCACAAAACTTCGCATGGCGGCACTCCAGCCAGCCAGCCTACGATCCCTCACCTCGCCTCTGGAAAGCACTGCCGGCAGATCGGATGCAAAAACCTGGGTATCGCATTGCACTCCAAGTAAGACGATGTGATCTGCCTGCCACACTTAAAAGTTGTGCCCTCCTCAGAAGCGACTAAGTGTATGAAGCGGGTGGTGACATGCCGAAAAACCGCCTTGCCCTCCAGGCTTTCTCGAAGGCAACCGCTCGGCTCAAAATCGCCGACACTGTCCTCAACCACCTTCTCCTCCTCGAGAGTGTCCGGCTCCTCCTCGTCATCGCTCCTGTCGGAAGAAGAATCTGAACCGACCTCGGCCTTGTCATGAGCATCTCCCCTGGCAGCCAAAGACTCCGCAAACATGCCCGAGCGCGTGGCGTCCGGGAAGAAGCGCCTGTAAGCGACCGCAGAAACCATTTCCTCCAGCTCACGCAATGCAGGGGAAACGCTGTCCCTCGCGTAGATCACATCCGTGCCGGCGTTGGCACTAGAATGATATCCGAGTATCGACCTGATCTCCTTACTAGCTCCCCACTTGGACATCCAAGATAAAAGCGTAGCTTTGCAGGAGTGAGTGCCCACGGCCTTGACCAATGCGACATCCTCGCCTGCACGATAGAGAAGGTGGCGAAGCCACCGCGCTCCAGCCTGCGCAGACATTGGCGCCTTCTGCCATTGGCCACCCTCGGTGGGGGACGGTAGCAGGGGCATGTCAGGCCCCCATGCGGGCCCCGCCCTGCCAGCCACCTCCATCCAAGCCATCGCCCAAGAATCCTGCTCAAGGCCCCATATCGGACTGACCATAGCAAGATATCGGGTTTTACGCTCCAGGTTGTGACTCGTTTTACTCCTGGTGACCCTCGCTTCAAGGTACCCACGCGGTCCGTCTTCACCTTGCACGATGTCTTTCGCCAGCTCACCAGAACACTGCATGTCCGAATAGCGGGCTCTTGCAAACACACAATACAAAAAGCACCCTGCCGCGTATCTATCGACATCCGTACGGACTTCAGGTATAAGTCCCAGCACAATTCGCTCCAAAGCCCGAATCTGTGAAGCCGTCAGCGGCGGCTTCTGTTGCAGCTTTCTCTTCTCCAAGTAGAGCTTCGAAACTGCGCCAGCCAGCCTGCTGCTAACACAATCGGCCGGGACCTTCGCCTCCAAGACATATTGCATGAAGCCAATGGAACTCATGAAGCTGGAGGCAAAGGTAGGCGCAGCCCCACTGCAGTATTCTTTGACGAAGCGATACATCTTCTGCTCGGACAAAGGAAAAGGCTGCTCTCTGATGCGCCAGCAGAATGCCATGTATCTCAGGACCGGGCCAGCCCTGCTGTGAAGCGTACTGCTCGCCTTGAGTGAGAAAACATCTCCTAGAGACTCCTGCAGTGAGGCTGGCAATCCAGCTTCAGCATCTTCCGCCACTCTAGCACAGATCCCAAAGAAGTCGCCACCCTCTTTAGCAATCCGAAGCCACTTCATGACAGCCGCATGTCTGTTATCCGATTGTCTCTGAATCCAGGAAGGCCCAACCTTCCGTGGCAGCTTGCCTCCAGTAGCAGTCAGATTTATAGCCGACGGGCCACTCGGAGCTTTCACAGGAGCAGCAGCCGTATGAGTAAGCACATTCCCAAGACGCCCCCTTCCCAAGAAAGCTTTCGGCAATACACTCGGCACATTCACAATGCTTCTCTCCCATGGCTGCTTTGAGTTGCTCGTAGAATTCTGGTGCACAACATGAGCAAGATGCCCTTCGAATGCAGCATCAAACGTCCTCTTCTCTGCCATCACGAGAGAAGCTGCCCATGTGCCACTGAGGCGGTACACCAGGGGTTCACGGGCCTGAAACCTGTTTCACACAGCTTGGCCCGGAGCCCGCGTTCTACACGACTCTCTTTTACCCCCCGTACAAACTTTGCTGCACGGAAGGTTCCCGCCCACCCACCCTATGTTTGAGCATGCGCGGAACAACAAGGACTCGTAAAAGTTCAAATGGAATCTCATGACACATGAAGCGGCTTCGAAAAACTTCTTCAAAACTTTCGAAACCTACCAAAAAGGTTATAAAGCCTTATGGGACTAGTTTGTGATTTTTAGCGTCCCAAAAACGGCTTGTGTCACACGATCATCCGCTCCAGGAGGTGTCCTGAAGGTGTCTGCTCTGCAGGGCGGTGCCAAAGGCATGGAGAGACGACTGCGGGGGACCTCCGTACAATCGAACTCAGTCAAATAGGAGGGAATACCCAAGCGGTACGTCAGTGAGGAGAACCGCACAATGCTGGAGAACTCCGAGCCAAGTGGAAGACGCCGACGAAGAAGATCAGGAGGTTCAGAACGATCCGCGGGTAGAAGGGCAACTGTGGTCATGGAGCGAGCGAGGAGGTAGATGGCGAGTGCATCATTGAGATGGCGGTTGGTGGCCGAAAGTGCCGAGATGACGCCGATGTCGAAGGTGAGAACAAATAGGCCATGATAATAGTTGTCTCCAACGCGAAAGAACCCGTAGAAGAGGTTAGTGTGACGGTCAATGAGCTCGGCCAGGCGATCACGGATCATGACGTCATCGGGATGTCGTGTAGTCTGCCGAATAGAATTTCCTGGACTGCCATCAATAGGGGGGTGAGTCGCGGCCACGGCGTACGCGAACAAGTTCTGGTGGTAGTCCAAGAGCTGGTGCACAAATCCGCAAGGGAGTACGGAGAGCTGGAGCGGCATGGTATTAATGTCAAAAACCCTAAGGAAACGGCTGCGGAAGGTGCGAACATGTGAATCAACGTCCAGGCAGGCATGGCAACGCTGCAAACTATTTCCGCTCGAATGCAGCCACCTCCGCGATGGCAACAGTTGGTACCATGTGCCAGCTGAAATATAGTGAGGACGAACACGCTCATGCGCTGGGAGCAGTGGCAGGAACAGCTGCTGGCTGGAAGGCGGAGAGGACCGCAGTCATCGCCAATAGCTTTTGCTGGTTGACCTCCGACAACTTGGAAGCCAAAGTGACAGACAATCCCCAATCCACAAGGGTTTTGTCGAGGGGCGGCAGGACACCCGAAGCGGCCTCTTTCAAGATGCCCTGTAACTCGGTGAGCTTCGGTGTGTAGGATTCGCGATGGAGCTTGATGAGACCGTCGAGCCATTTCTTCACATCGGTGGTAGAGGCGGATTTGGGGGAGTTGGATGCGAGGACAGCGCGGCGATCAAGTCGTTCGAACTTGGAGAAGGAGTCCCGGAGTCTGGTGGCAGCGTCTGGTGGAGGGTTCGGTTCTGCAAGTGGATGAGGTAAGGTCTCGGCGCCCGTGCCAGCGGCAAGCAACCTTAGCTGGTCGTTCTCCTGCTGCAATCGTTGAATTTGTTCAAGAAGTCCAGGTCGTCCTCCGGCTGCAACTTCACCGTGGGGTAGTAGATCATTAATAGTCGCAGCAACCTTGTCCGCCACGTGTTGCAAGAGCTGAGCGCGATACGCCCATATGGTAAGGTCGCGTGGGCCTTCGGTAGCAACGGTGTGGTTGTCGTGTAATTGTTTAAGGACATCAGAGATGTCGTATTGGTCCGAGGACTTGCGGAGCGTCCGAATAATGAATGAAGCCAAAAGCGCTTCCTGTCGCGTCCTGAAAATTTCGATCACAAGAGGGCGGCCAGCAGCCAGCAGGCGGACGATCCATGCTTGCCCCGCATTCGGGGTGAGCGACACAACAGGTACGAGATGAATAGGCATTTCGGCGATGCCGAGACGCCTGGTAAAGGCAGTGTCTACGACATTGCGCGGTAAAGGGAAACCGCGGTCTGGGTTCGCGTCAAGGAAGAGGTCGGTGGTTTCCCAGTTGGCGCCGAGCGGATGGATGTCTTCGTAGCGTTCCTGGAGTAGGCGGTGATCTCGAGCGGAAGGATGGTCTCGGCGATCACGGCGAGGTTCACGTCGAGCAGGAGGTGCACCGGAGGAAGAATAGTGGGATGGATCATCATGAGGTGGCGGAGTGGAGTGCACCCGGCTGTCAGAGTGTGGTACCCGTCGGTCAGAGTCGGAAGGAGGAGGATGTCGTCGAGACGATGGCCGTGGCGAGGAATAGTGTAGGCGACGTCGTGGGGGAGAATCAGCATCAGGATCTCGATGTCGATGTTGCCTGATCGAAGTGTCACGGCGGTGGTGGCGGTGATGTTCCGGCGTGTTGGACACCGGGGTTCGGCTTCGATGTCGTCGGGACCGGGGAGGAGACACGGCTGTGTGCTCGATTGTCCCGAAAGGATCCCGACCTGGGAGGTTGCGTCGTCATGTTCCGCTGGGACGAATAAGGATCGTTTCGAGAAGGTTCATCACGTCCAGGTAGACGATGTCGTCGGGAAGGTGGAGTGCGAGAGCGGTGTGGGGGCATAAGGAGGAGGAAGAAGGGGAGGAGGCGTGAGGAAGCAGGCGAAAGGAGCCAAAGTATAAAACGGCTGCGGGAAGGGAGCTCGCTTAAGAACTGCTGCAGCAGCAAATAGTCCCTTTGTCCAGGTCCTGAGCGCGCATCATGAGAAACGTCCGAGCCGGATCAGAGGCAACTCCTGGTAGCTGGAAGGAATGAAGACCCAATGCTGAATTCCACGGTGTAACGCCATGCCGCGGACTTGTTGTGGACAAAACGGATGGAAGATGGAGAGGCACGGTCGAGAAGAATGTGACCGTGGAAGATCGGGTGTGCGTTCCACGTAGAAGGCATATTGAAGTCCACGATCACGAAGAAGGGCTCGTACGGCGTAATATGCTCGCGAGCATGTCATCATCAAAGAAGCAACGACACCGGGATGGAATGTGATCTCGGTGAGGGCATAGTGAAGGTGATAGTCGCGTTCCGTCCGGAACGCCAGAGCCTGGCCATGTAGTTCAGCAATGGGAAAGAGGCACCGTAAAGTGGAGTCCGGGGCGGGTGCACGGGCAGAAGCAGTGTCCATCATCGAGTCCGGAGGGACGAGAGCAGTGCAGCAGTGCGTAGACGAAGTTCCAAGAGTGGTAAGAACACCCGGAAGAGAATGAAAGGATCAGTCAATACGTCCAAGTACTCCAAGACAGTTGCCGAAGTGGATGACGACAAGGTCGAGCAGGAAGAGGAGGCAGAGGACGAAAGAGGAGCAGAGCGTCGGAGAGACATGTATGGTACCAGGGAAGGGCAGGACTGTGGAGTAACGTAGAAAATGGCTGCGGAACATCCAAGGAAGGAGGAGCAGAGTCGGCGATGGCACATGTTTTGCTCAGGTCCGGGCGACTGAGTACAGGGTCAGGGGTGGACGCTGCTGGTCTCCGCTCAGATCCCGCCGATGTCGATCACGGTCTCGATCGCGATGGGGAACATCACGTGCACCTCGGGAGCGGTCATGATCATCACGATCATCACGGTCTCGGTCAGCACGGTCGCGGCGGCGACGCCGACTACGGGATCGGCCGGTTGTCGCCGTTGTGGTGCGTGGAGGAGGAAGTTGCGGTCGCGCTTTGACCTGTACGTAAGTCAAAGTGCCATCAGCATCAACCTTCGGTGCAAGAGGTCGTCCGGTGTGCTTGGAGACAGCCGGAGGTGGAACTGTGTGGCCGATCGGGATGGCATCAGAATGTCCCGGGTTGATGGAATCGGAGGAGAAGGTCCAGCAGGTAGAGGGTCAGGAGGAAGTGGGGATACCGAACGACGTCGACGGCGATGACGATCACGATCCCGGTCTTCAGCGCGAGAACGTTCTTCATCTCGAGGGCGGTCGCGATCTCGTCTCCGAAGTCGTGGTAGGGTCTGGCGCTGGGAGGGATCCACATAAGGAGGAACCGGTGGTGGTCCCATAGCACTGCCGCCGGGAAGTACCTGAGGTCCAGGAGAGTCATAGGCGGCTTGACCAGAATAAGGGCCTGGGTCACTGGAGGTGATCGGTACTGTGGCAGGTGGAGGACCATCCGGAGGCGGTGGAGTAGATGTCGTAGTCACCGGAGTCACAGGAGTCAAAGTCGGTCGATTCTGATGGGCTCGTAGCAATACGTCACGTACCTGGAGCAGTTGGTTGTCAGACAGCGACTCGAAAAACACCAAGAACAGCTGCAAATATTCGGAAGTGAAGGCGGAGGAGGCCATGATGTGCTGTGAAGGTTTCAGCAAAACGGCTGCGGGATGAAGAGGAATAAAGCTGCAACAACAAAGAGACCAGCAATACCGCACCTCAAGTCACGCACACATTTTGTGGGTCCTCTCACATGAACACGGCGATGCCTTCTGGTTGTGCAAGCGTGGAGTGCACGCCCCAACGGTTGTCGTTGCCGTGTAGGATGGAGACGAAGTAGTTCGCCGCGTTTTCGGGGACGGTGCCCCCACTGTCGCTCTTCAGGTGATAGGCCGCGGGAGTGTTAGGGAGCACTGAAGACGGTGTGTCGGTAGGCGCGGCATGGGCTATGTCGAGATAGCAAATGGGGATTCGGCCATATACACAAATCGGACGGGGAGAGCCCCATCCTCCGAACTTGGCTGCAGCCCGTAAGGCTCCGCTGAGACTGTGGACAGAAGCGCGAGAGTAAAAGGCAGGACTCGGCAGCCAAGAGGCGTCAAGGGGGTCGAAATTGCTGGGGCGGATGCAGCCTTCTTTAAGGATGCCAAAAGCCGCCTGAAGGTCCGTGTTGTGACCGAAATACGCGACGGCAGGTGCCCCGCTAATACGCTGTGCCGCTGCCGGGAAGGGAAGCGAGACCATCAGCATCGGTCTGCCTGCTTGGTCTGGTTGATGTTGGGGGGCCTCGACGTGTGTAAACTTGAACTGAACACTGTGAGGATGGTATCCGGCATGTACCAACAGATGCATCACTGTGAGTATCGGATCGGCTAGGGTGAAAGGCACTTCAAAATGGCGTCCCTCCAAAAGTAACTCCCGTTGACATTGTCGGCGATGAGGGAGCGCTTTGAAGTAGGGCCTGTGTTGCAGCAATGCAGTATACACTCGATCCCAGTGCACCGCCTTGAGGGAGCCCAGCCGTGTAGAGTAATCGGATTGCAAATAGGTGTCAAGTTGGCCTGCCGTGGCCAAACACTGGCGTAAGGTTGCCAACGTGCAAGCGGAGCTGAAGGGAGCTGCTGAGGTCGAAGATGCTGTAGATGGCGACGTCAAGGATGCCGTAGGGGTGGTAGACGGATCCGGCAGCGAGGTAGGAACAGAAGCATCGGCAGGCACCGACTGGTCGTTGCTGGAGGAAGACGGGGCTGAGCCAGTAGGAAGTAGACCAGGCCAAAACGGGCTCGCAGGGAGAGGAGAAAGATCAGGAAGAGTGCTTGGAGCTGCCATATCGATAGGTCGTGGAGGCTGCAAGGGGTCAGCGATTCGGCCAGTCAAAGTAGAACGTTGAGGTGCCGCAGTCCGGGTCGTAGGTGCCGCCGGCGTTGACGACGAAGAGGAAGAGGAACACGATGAGGACGCAGACCTCGGGCGTGGCCGAGATCGTGAGCGAGAGGGTGCAGTCGTCCGGAGTCCAGGTGCACAGGATGGACGGGGACGAGGAAGCATGGCGAATGCAGAAAAGCAATGCACAGCCTACAACAGCAACTACTAGAGGGAAAAAACCACTAGAACGTTACGGTCAAAACTCTTCCTGCCTGAGTCCTTGGGTGTGAGTGCTTGAAGCTGCTTTGGCTGCAATCGCGTTTTGGTAGGCATGGAGCCGAATTTGTGGGTGCCATGAGAGGCGGTTAGGCCGTGTGGCTTCACTGCTCTCCTCATTGAACTGATCTAAGCGCTGACACTGAATTTGGCGCCTCCGAACTTGGAGGATCTGAGTGCAGCACCGAGGCATACACCACCGTCCCGGAGGACTACACACTGAATGCTAAGGAAGGTTTCGGTATGCGACGGACCACCTGATGTCCAGGTCTCAAGTGACCACACATCAGAGACTTTGGACAGGTAGCTTCATGGACAACAGCTGCAAAGAGGAAGTGCAGAAAGTCTGTAGCTGACACCTCAACCTGCCTGGCTAAACCACAACGCCAGCCTGAACCCCAACGTGCCGAAGGACAAGACCAGGACCAACGATTGCAAACGCTCGCACTGAAGAATGGCTTCACTCGCACTGACAAGGTTCTGTGCGGGGTCCTCGGCTTAGCCCCAGGCCATCCAGACAAGGAATATGCACCAATACGATGACGAACCATATACAGCGAAGACCAGGATGTCACAAGCAATTGTGCAGGTACGTGAAGAAGGCGTCCCTTCTTCATATCACAGCAAATCTGGACGGTCTTTGTTAGGCAGCGCAATCCAGAAATGCTCGCTGCCCCCCTGCTGTGTACTCTGTGCTCAAGTTCGGTTATATATAAAGCGTAAGTAGGAAACGGCTGCAGAGCGTGAGGAGAAGGCCCTTGGATACAGGGTTGTCACACACACACACACCCACACACATGCGATCTACCTCAGGCTACTGCTGTAGCTATCTGGCATGCTGGCTTGTTCTGATGGAATCGAAAAAGGTTTGTTGATTCGTATATGCGTACACGAGGAAGCGAGTTTGCGTGGATCGATACAAAAGTCTTTTCTTACTCATTTTGGTGTGCTTTTGCGGTGCGCATCTGTTTTCGCATCTGTGCTTACATGTCGCTTCCTCGTCATATACTGTACATGGTACATATGCATATAGAAAAGATGATGCCGTAGATCCGAAGAACGAAAAGGCCTGCTTCGATCACGTCGCGGTGACCTGTGCCAGCTTGCGTCTTTCAAGCGGCTCATAGGGTCATAGGGCTAAGGGACTGCTTGCAATAGCACCGTGTCTTTCTTGCGTTCTCGGGCAGAGCCCTGGAGGCCGGGGCCGGCCTGGAACGTCCCATGCCTGGCAGAGTTCTCGCTTCTTCACCCCTTAAGATCTGCTAAGACTCGCAAGACATCCGACGGAGCACATGCTCTGTAGCTTAGCAGGCACAGCATCTTAGGGTGCAAAGCTGGTGGGGCACCTCATGGAACGCCCCGCGAGCGCTTGGGCGCTGAGTGGAGGTCAACTGCAAGTGGATTGCCAAACTGCTACTGCATGTTGCTTTGTCTCTGGGCTGATTACAAACGCTTGCAGCGGCTGCCTTGCACTCTGATCTTCGACTCTGAAATCTCATTGTTTGAACAGCTGGTCGGCTGCAGATGACTGCGTGTGCTGCGGGTGGTGGGGCGGTGAGGGCAGATCGCAGGTGCATCGCTTGCGACTAACAAGGAGACAATCTGAAGGCATGAGCAACCGTTGCAGAAGCTCCACTGCCGCATCTCTTGACTCTTTCTCCAGCCACGCACTTCGGCAGGTTCAGCTTGTTGGATCCTGAGCATCGACACGCATGTCGTCATGTAGTGACACTTGCTTCATCTTGCGTCTCAACGTGGAACCGCGAGACTTTGTTGCGAGACGGCCTTCAAATTTATCTTAATCGATAGTGGTCTAGCCCTCACCACCAATGGGTCTCCTTATGCTCGCAATCGCTTACGGCCCCAAGCCAAGGAAAACACAGATGGGCGCTCCTGGCCTGCTTTGCTCGCGCCCACAGTTTGGGGACTTCGGCTGGGCCCTCCGCAGCCTCGGGCAGGTGGCTCCAAAAAGCATCGAGCTGGATTTCATCTCGCTGCATCGAAGAAACGATTCGAGCACTGCGAGCACTGCGAGCTGCTGCCTCATCGCCCGCCGGACGACTGTCCTGACCAGAATCTGCCGGCCTTCGGCTCTCTCCAAAAGCCTGCAGATCCTCCCACGGCGGCGCTGCGCAGAAGCTGCTGCACCGTCTGTGAGGCCCAGGGTGCCGCCGGCGCGGCCTCAGCTGTTTCCCTCAACGACGGGATCGCGCAGTGATCTCGCAGGCCAGAAGGCCTCGGCCGGCGAAGGCGACTCGCCGCCTAGGCAGCCGCACGGATTCCAAGAGCTCAGCAACGGCTCTTCGATTCGAGCCCAAAGCTGGGTAGCTGGCCAGACTCGGGGCTTGGCAAAGCCGATTTGGCAGACTTCTGGGCCTGCCGACGGCCGTCGGTAGGCTGCACACTCCAGAATTTGATGTTCAGATTGTCGCATTCTGATGCCACATGTTTCGGCACGTCTTCATGCTGCACTCAGCTCGACAGCATCACATGCCTGCCAGCATGACTGCATCCAGGAAAGGCAAAGCCGTGCACAACGATGCGGAGCCTCCGTCTCAATCGATCGCTGCCACCTCAGCACATGCTAATTTGGGAAGTCGCAGGGCAAAGTGCGGGTTGCAGGCGCATGTGCAAAGGGGCGACCCCAGTAACTTCTCCCCCGCAATCTGATCGAGGATTGCCAGATGCTGCACACTGAGTGGCCTGTGATCGCAGTCTCTCAAGACGTCCTGCCATGCAGAACGTCTTCTAGGCAAGCAGGATGGATGAGGAAGTGCGAAACCGCTGGCCGATGTGCCTTCTACGACTCCTGTTCGTGCAAAGCTTTTATTCGTTGGTGGCTGTTTGCCCGTGCTTGCTGTTGCATCTCGGTGCTCGGCAAGTCCTGAAATATTGCACTTCTGTTCGTGCTAGAGTTGTCCTTGGGACTCTAGCCCGAGATGTCTCCCGGTTTTACGGTTCGCTGCTCTCAAGTATGGACTTATGACTTATAGCTTTCAAATACTGTCCTGGTGCGAAATGAGATTTAAGGTGTGAGACAGCGGCATTCTTTGCGGTCATCTCTTGTTATGGAACTGAGCCTTGCCCTCGTCTAACAAACGTGCAACCCACAATTTCTCCCTCAATTGCCGACAGATCAACTCTGTCCCGTCCCGAATCTTGTCACAAACGAAAGCCCCGAAGCGCAGGAGTTGGCATTGCCCTCCCGTCCTGCATGATGTCCCGCAAGCGCTCTGCCTGGAACGGAAGAATCTTCTTGGTTTACTGTCCTGTCCCTTCCTGCAACCCGCGTGAGACCTGCACCATAGCTGGCGTCGG